CCAGCCTGGCGGCCCGCCAAATGCGCGAGACAGCCAATCAGGCTGCAGCCGCTTCCCGTGCCATTAAACGCGAGACTGACCCGGTGCACTCTGCAACCACTGCCAGTGCCGCTACAGAGAAGACTGTGGATCTTCCAATCGGACCGCCTGCCGAAGTGGTCTACGCTCTGCCGCTTTTCCTGCTCCTACTCTTCGTCATTTACGTCCTTGGTCATGTGACCCAACCAGGTGTGTGCGTGTGCGTGTGCGAGAGTGCTTTCTATTGGTCCGCACAACAGTCTGCGCGCTGTACCCAAAGCAGGCCAGACTTTGCATGCTCGAGAATGAGACCCAGAGCAGAACGGGACGAGTGATTTCATTTGGCGGTCAGATGAACGTTCATCAACGCGTGTCAATAGCTCCTGAACTAAACCGGCAAAACGACGAGCTCGTGGCTCAATGGGTAGAGCGTTTGACTTCTGATCAAAAGGTCGCGGATTTGAGCCTCGGGTGGGGCACCACTTAGGATGGGGTAGGACTGGCTGACAACGGCTAATTAGCGAGAAAGAGCCACATTCCCGTCTTCCTCTTCCTTGCCGGCAATACTATCTGTCTCGACTACTAAACACTGTGCGCGGCTGCTGTCAGGGTCCGAGAAATTAGGCCCAAGGCAGCGCGAGGCGAGTGAGTTCCGTTAACGATGTGCGAACGTTCATCAACAAGAGTCTGCGCTGCACTCGAAGGAGACTAGACTGACTCGTGGCGTACGTTTTTCTCGGGTTGCGCCGGCCCTCATGCCACAACAGTCAACTCCATCACAGGCTATTTGACAGTCGACTGGTGCATGCGAGAGGGAAAGCGAGTGTGAGGCTAACACTTGGAAATACATGTCCCTGGATGTCAGTCGTGGATTGGAAGGCCACCAACTGGTGCAATCGCTCGGTCCTTCTCAGAGTCAGACTGCAATGGCTTCGTTTTAATATGAATCTTTATGACACTCTCGATTGTTGCAGCCGCACGCATAAAAGCCACTGGTGAACTTTGTTGTAATGGTAGCCAGGGTCGAGATGTTACCGCCTGATTACGCCTCA